CTCGCCCCACTCCAACCCCCCCTCCTCCTTCCCTCGACCTGCCCCCCCTCGGGACCTCCTGCCCCCCACTTCAACCCCCTCCCCCCCCCGTTCCCCTGCCCTCTGACCGCCCTGACCCCTATCCATACGCAGAACCCCAAGGTAAAGGGAGAGACATGGGGCCTAAGGCAGGTCAGCCACCGGCCAGCAGAGGGCACTCCGGGCTGGACAAGAGCTAATTCCCAAGACAACCAGCAGGAGACGCGCACCGGTAAGTCTCAGCTCTGCTACAGTCATCCATACCCAATTCATAGGTCTCAGGGTGTACTCTTTTTCAGGTTTATGGCGTCTTTTACCAGTGAAAGAGTCTTACACAGTAATATCCTTAAAAAGTAACAGAGTCCTGTGGCACCTTTAAGACTAACAGATGTATTGGAGCATAAGCTTTCGTAGGTGAATGCCCACTTTGTCAGACGCAAGTAATATCCTTAATGTCTATTTATTAACAATTACAAATACAGACTATACACACTAAGCATTCAATGCCCATCACTCCCAATAAGGCAGATGAACTTTTCTTGATGCCCAGTCAGGATTGGATCATCTGGGAAACTCCAGCTTCTGCATGATGATTGGCAAGGTGTTGAGGTCTGGCAACTCTGATCTCAGGGCTGTGTCCTGGAGTTGGTTCCAAAGAACTTCCTTTTGGACCCCAGTTTATATAGTGAAACTTGAGTCTTGCTTAGCTATACCTTAACCAATTATTTTACTAAAATATTACTAACCAATCCTAATATATTGTAAAACAATTCTTTAACCAATCATACCCCACCACCTTAATTGATTTACACCTAGCAAAATTAATTATGTAACAGATAGAAACAATCAATGAACCAGACAGAGACCATACAAATAAACAATAGAGAAGTGGGGACCATAAAGACAAAACAATAAAGAAATGGGGATTTCACACCCACAACTATTGATAAGTGATTCCTTGCCAGACAGAATGCCATCAAACAACGTTTTCTTTAACCATCTTAAGATCTGTTTGTTTGTTCTTTATCTGGTGGTGGTAGGTGCTATTAGGACAGGATCGCCTTCTTAACAGCCCGATATTATATTATTTTACTGTAATTTAGATGGAACATGAGGATATGACTTTGTGCTTCTTCGGTCATGGCTGGTGCTCTCCTAATATGGTTGCAGGAAAAGGCCTAAGCCTTGTGGACATAACATATACTGTACACGCCTGGCTTCTTCAGTTGTTATAACAACATCAGCTCCTTCTTCTTTTCAAAATACAGCAGTGTTGTCACCAAATGAAGCCCTCTCAGCAGACATGTGCTTGTTCCTGCAGGGAAGAACCACTAGGTGACATGGCTGTGTTAAGATGACTGATTTCTTACATTTTCCCGCCTTGCGACCTGGTTGGCTTAGCTATCAGGTGACTACACAGGAATGACCTGGAAGATGGATTGCCTGCAACAAGAACTGCCTATGTCCCGCCCCCGCCCCGCCCCCCCCAAAAGCATGTGTATTAATTGCCATCACCCTACTGTATCAGAAAACTGATAGCTCCGCACATGTGCAGACACACAGCATCACAGAGTTATAAGTTAGTTGCAAACATCTTTCTTGTAGCCTTTCAGAATGTGTCCTCAAACCTTTGGGGCTATCTCAATAATCAACTCATAAATATTGCTAAGGAAACTTAAGAAAGTTGTAAGTGATAATAGTCTGAAACCCACCAACAGTGCTTTGTTGTTCTGTGACTGGAGAGGTGTTAACAGGCCACCGAACATGAAAGGATCTCTTACAATATGTGCTAACTACATATTTACAATAAAGAAATCCATTCCACCTTGTGTTTAGTAGAGAGACCTCTGACTGACTGATAGCAATCTGGTGTCGCACGTTGCCATAGTGCAATCTATATTTGCTTCTCCACTGTCAATGCAGCTTTCATTTTGGCAAGTTTGGCACACAGATCCAGGAATGTGGCCTTGTGCATCCAAAAACTCTGCAGCCACTGCTCATCATCCCAAACCTGCATTAAGATGCAATGCCACCAGTTGGTGCTGGTTTCTCGGCCCCAAAACTGGAGATCCACCATCTGCAGTTGCTCCGTGAATGCCACCAACAATTTTGAATTGGTTGTTGCTATATCCCACAGCAATCTGTTCTGGATGGAAACATCATGTCCACCACGTCTATTCTTGCAGCTCAGTAAATACTGCAGGATCGTGCACCCTGGGCTTGCAATACTCACGACAATAGTGCAGAGCATGCAGGCTGCATGCTTCTGTCAGAGATGGCAGAGCGTGAGGAGGGCCACATGGGTTTGTGGGATTTAGGAAAAAAGTGCAAAAATTATGTATTCTTGTACATAAGAACATAAGAACGGCCGTACTGGGTCAGACCAAAGGTCCATCTAGTCCAGTATCCCATCTGCCGCCAGTGGCCAATGCCAGGTGCCCCAGAGGGAGTGAACCTAACAGGAAATGATCAAGTGATCTCTCTCCTGCCATCCATCTCCACCCTCTGACAGAGTCTAGGGACAACATTCCTTACCCATCCTGGCTAATAGCCATTAATGGACTTAACCTCCATGAATTTATCCAGTTCTCTTTATACGTATGTGATACGTATAAAATTAGGGGATGGTAAACACTGCACTATGTGAAGTTGATCCCTTTCTGACCCATTTTGGCCCCAGCATGCATTGCCAAAACTTCTGCATGGGGGTGAGTTGCACAGTGGGATACTTATCAGTGACACACCACACTGTGGATTGATACAAACATTTCTGGTGAATATGCTCAGCGCTGACACAAGGAGTCAAGTAGGCATGCGCACATGTGACATACTAGCTGTGGTGATTCTATGGTGACGTTAGTAAGTTTGTAGTGTAGATATGGCCTTAGCTATATGAAATATTTGGGAGAGGTAACAGGAAAAGTATGAGGATAGTCCAAGATTCATTCACGTGTTTAAGCTCCTGCTTTTGTGGAACTTGGCCTACTACACCCTAAAGGCTCAGGAACAAAGAGGCACATAAAAAGAACCCAATATCATTTATTTCTTTATAATTTCATGACTTGTGGGTATATAACTCATGATTTTCAAATTCTTGTGGTTGTCAAGCTATCTTGGGGTTATACATGTGTGTTCGTTATGTTATGAGGGCCAAAACTATAACTGGGTTCAAAAAAGAATTAGATCAGTTCCTCACAATAGGTCCATCAATGATTATTAGCCAAGATGACCAGGGATGCAACCCCATTGTCTGGATGTTCCTAATCCCTTGATGATTGCCAGTTCTGTTCATTCTCTCTGAAGCACCTGGCATTGGCCACTGTAGGAAGACAGGATACTGGCTAGATTGACCATTGGTCTGATCCACTATGGCCATTGTTATGTTCAGCAAAAGTTGTAGAAGATTTTTGCCCTTGAGAAGGATGTAACATGAGACAATATAATGCCCTTATTGAATATTTGCGAATCAAGTTCTACACACAAGCAATAACAGGTGAAAAAGCACTAAAAGGCTGCACTGAGAGGCAAAATAAGTGTAGCAAAAGGCAATCCCCATTGATGGATCAAATAGAAACGAAGTTTTGACAACAGGCCAGACTTCAGTCAGACTGGAAGTCACATGACCCAACAAAATAAACTTGTGCTATAAAAAGAAAAAAAGTTAGAATTAAAAACTCCAAATTAAAAATCACAGTCAAAAACATAGCAAGTGCTATACTAGACACACACATGGAATTTCTAAAACTACTAGCAATTATTTACTTATAAATATTTTTGATTAGTATTAGCTATTAAAATGAAGAATAAATAGCACAATGACATGCATATGCACAATGATAACAAAGATAAATGATGAAGTGGTCAGAGTAATAAGAGTAATTGAAATAACATTTTAAAAGGTGCAAAACTATAATTAAAATGGATTACAAGGAAGGGAGCGCAATTCAGGGAATCACAGCAAGAGATAAGACAAATTTGTGAACTGTTATGAGACTTCATATAGACATATAAAGTGATAAGAGATTCTTTTAAATACTCTAAATGTGTGACACAGAGTTTTTGAGGGGGTATATGTAAAATATTTCACTGCATCAATCTCCTGTAGCACCTCAGCACGTTATATCAGATAGAGAGGAGTTGCTGTGTCTAGGCACTGACAGTCTAGGAATTGGGATGCCCGTGCCTTTGAGAACCCAGCCCTGGGAAGCCAGTGCCCTGGAAAGCTTGTGCTGAAAAGTAGTGTCCTGTGAGAGGGGAAATTAAAAAAGCCCCTCTGCCCTCCCATCCCTATTTTTGCAAACATGACAGGTGGCTCACCCCATTGGGGTAACTGTTACCCCCTCTGCCCCTCCCTGTGCAGGGGTTTTGCCCTCTGCCATGGTCTGACAGCATCTCCCCTCCCCCCCGGGCTTAACCCCAACTCCTACCCCCCAGGCCAGTAAATTTCCACCCCCTGCTCTGACCATCCCCCCCCCTCTGATTTCCCCTTTTTAAGCCCTCTAAAGAGCAGGCAGCAGAGTCTGAGTCCAAGTAAGGGCAGAATGAGGGCAGCAGCTTCAGCAGATGTGAGCATGCTCAGTGCAACCTAGATAGGAAATTCTGCCATGACATAATTTGCTACCAGTAGCAATTACTGATACATAAGGTTGTTTTTTGATGACTTGTCCTAATTTGCTATCTATCACCTTTAGCATCATCTGGTCCAGGGAGAGCTAATTGTGACTACTGTGGGGGAGTTATATGTGTCATAAATTGCTACCTCTCACGTTGTAGAACAGGGGTCGGCAACCTTTTAAAAGTGGTGTGCTGAGTCTTCATTTATTCACTCTAATTTAAGGTTTCGCGTGCCGGTAATACATTTTAACATTTTTAGAAGGTCTCTTTCTATAAGTCTATAATATATAACTGAGCTATTGTTGTATATAAAGTAAATAAGGTTTTAAAAATGTTTAAGAAGCTTCATTTAAAATTAAATTAAAATGCAGAGCCCCCTGGACTGGTGGCCAGGACCCGGGCAGTGTGAGTGCCACTGAAAATCAGCTTGCATGCTACCTTTGGCACACATGCCATAGGTTACCTACCCCTGTTGTAGAACTATAGGGGTTGCATTTGGCCCGTGGGCCCTACTTTGGCCATCACTAGCTGCACTAACTCTCCTTTATATGTAACAAAGGATGTCTAAAGAAAAAACTTGACACTGTTGTGTGATGGAAGCATAAAGCCTTCAGCTTCCAAACAACCCTGCCTGGTGTACATATGTATCAATTACCTCTTAATAGAGTGAGGCCATGTAAACATAATTTATTATGCAGCTTCATTTACAATGCTCTCATTATTAGGCCCCTAATTCCATCACATGCTCTACCAAATGCAGATGAGTAAGGCTACGATTATGTCACAGAGGTCACGGAAGTCACAGAATCCATTACTTCCAACGACCTCCATGACAATGGGGACCCCCACAGCTGACCAGCCATCCTGCAGTGTGGAAAAACTGCTATCTGACTGAATTTGCTACTTAGGGTGTACAGAGCATGCTCACACGAACTGAGCATGCACAGTAACATCTGCTGAAGCCAGCAGTGAGGGACTCCTGCAGCAGCCCAACCTCCAGGGGCCATGGTGGACCTGCAGGCAGTGGGACACCCTGCAACTGACTGGCCACCGACACCGGTTGGGACCCCTGAGCTCTCCAGCCGCCACCACTG